TTCTCATTTTCAGAAACAGTGAATTCTTTTCATCTTGAATGCAGTCACCTGAAAATCAAATATACAATTTACATATCATAGCAAAAAACAAAACCAAAAGACCTTAAAGAGTTCGGATTCTAAATCTATTAAGCCATTTAAATAGCCTTGGTCAACCAGACTAGATGAGTTTTTTTTTTTTAACTATGAGAAAGTATCTGCTATTTTATATTGTAATTTTTTAAAATTTGAGAGTATATGGGGATACAAACACTTTGGTTACATTAAATGCCTTTGTACCACCCTGAGTCAGAGCTTACAAGTTGCTCATCCTAGACAAACACACTACACTCCCTTAGGTATGAATTACCCATCTCTCCTCCCTGCCCCATCTGCCCAACACCCATGAATGTTACTTCCCAAATGTGCACATTAGGTGGTTGATCGATTAGTATCAATTTAATGAGTGATGTTAATGTGGCCCATTTGTTTTTCATTCTCATTATACTACTTCGTAGATTGGCTCTAGCTCCATCTAGGAGAGTAGGTAGTCACTCATTTTTTATGGCTGAGTATTACTCCATGGTATACACATACACATTTTATTAATCCTCTATAATATTGGTTGGGCACTTGGGTTGTTTCTACATCTTTGTAATTGTGAATTGTGCTGCCACAAACATTCAAGGTGCAGATGTCTTTTATTATAAAGAATACTTTTTTTTCCTTTGGGTAAATCGCCAGTATGTGGGGATTGCGAATCAAATGTAAGTTTCTACTTTTATTTCTTTGAGGCATCTCATATATTATATTTTTACATAGAGGGTTGTACTAATTCAGTCCACCAGCAATGGGATGATGTTCCTATCTCTCCCACACCTTTGCCAAGATTTGTCTTTGGGGACATTTTGATAAACCAATCTCACTGGAGTTAAGTGATATTTCACTGTGGTTTTGATTTGCATTTCCTGATGATTAGAGATGTATGAGCATTTTTCCTATGTTCTTTCGCCATTAGTTCTGCCTTTTCTTTGAAAAGTTCAAAAGATATTCAACTGCGAATCTGGAGTTCAGAAGGTTTGAGTCAAACAAAGAAATAAAATCCAATACATATATGTGAGAAAATAGAGTACAGATTATCTTTAGAATTTATACTTTGTGTCATTAGTCAGGGAAGAAACATGTTTTTAAGTCTCTAAAATTTGAAATGAACTTCAAAAAATAATTTTGTTTACGTATAAACTAAATTTCAGAATGCTGTCACCTACTAAGCCAAAAACATCACACAGTGTTCAAAGTTATCAGTTTTGGTTTCATAGTCAAAAATTATCAGTCACACATTCTCATACTAAGGGGGATGAGCACATATTTGGGATTAACGAATCAGTAAATCAGTAACAAAAAGCTAAAAACTGATTTCCATTTGTATCATTTGAACTGTTTGGCTTATGATTTGAAATAGACAAAACATCTTAAATTGTAGAACCATATCAATGTCATCCCTAAATGCATTTTTTTCACTTCACACTTTAAAAACAAGTATGATATACCCCCTGGTTCTATTTTGCTTTCATTTAAAATATACTTTAAAAATTTATAGTTAAGCTTGTGGAATCTTTCATAAGACCATAAATTTACATAAAGATTTAGAATTAGTTTGGGAAAAAAGATAATCTATTATTGACTTCCAATATATTAATGACAAGTTTGCTATTTATATTTTCAACAGGTGTAATTAATTCATGCAGTTATGTGATAAGACTACATATTGACACAATGAGCAATAACAGAAAATTAAACTCCAGTGAGTGATTGTCCTGAATATAGTAAGGCAATTATAACACTGTTATTCAAATGAGCAATACAAAGGATGGGAAACTATCCCTCGGCAGACAATGTAAAGAAATAACTTGTTCCTTAAAATCAATGCATGCATCCATGTTATCATGTAAGTAGTTTAGTACTATTATTACCTGTCATGTATATAATTCTAAGCAATTCAGATTTAAAAAAAATAAGAGTTTCTTCCCTTAAGGACCCTTACAGTAGAAACGTAAACAATTACATAAAAGATGTTGAAGGTGCTTTGAGAGAAGCACACTGTAGGGTAGGGATGGGATACAAAAAAAGATATCTCATTCTAGCTGGAGTATAGGGCTGTCAGAAAATTTTGACAGAGGAGAGGATAATTCCCCCAGTCTTCAAAACTAAACAGGAATCTGTTATAGAAAGGAAGAGAACAGGGGCAAAATTTTAGTTTTGAACACCTGGTGAATAAAAACAACCTTGTGCTGTCCATGCTTCAGTGTGGTTTCAGAGTTACCTTCATAAAGACTTTAGGGAGTGGGGCTGTTAAAAGCACAGATTCCTTGGACCCACCTCAGAACCATGACTTGGAATGGTGGATGGTGTTCTAGGCATCTCCTTTAACAAACGCTCATGGTGATATATTCTTTAGGTTCACTCTGCACCTGCCCCTGTCCTCTCTGTTTGGGATTTCTGTACTTATCAACCAAAAATCAGAAGATCATATACTCTTCATTAATTGTTAGAAACACTTAAGTCTTTTGATGTAGAATTTTATGTTCTTTATTGAATAAGAATTTCTCAGAAAACTGCACCAAGATCCTACAAGACTGGCAATACCTGAATGGATCAACCCTCTATCCTTCCTATGTAATATTCTACAGGGTAAATATGATCATATTGAAAATAGCACATTTCAGGTGCTTTGCATGTGTATGGAGTGTGTATTACAATGTGTAGTCAGGAAGAACGCAAAGGAGAACAAGATAGAATTTCCCAATACTTGTAGTATTCGCTTCATTCAAATAACAAGACTGATATAAAAGATAAAGTTAGAAGACCTGAATTTAGTGCTGTCACTGCCCTAAGTGGCTACTCGCCCTGACTATGTCTTTCTCTTTTATTTTCAAATCCTGAGGGTTAGGAATATTACCCAGCCCAGAATTTTAGATATTTATTCATCTAGCAAGGATAATACTACCAAACCTTTGTTCCTTGTCCTTAGACTTTTAGGGAATCAAACACTATTTAGCTTACTACTTCAAAAAATGCAACTTACATACAGCATGAGGGTACATTTAACCCTTTGTAAACCTTTTTCTAGACTTACTGCATAACTTCACATTTTATTTTTCAAATAGCAGCAACATATATGCAAACATATACCTGGTATTCTGTGCCAAGCTAAGTGCTTTATATATATTAACTCATTTAATCCTCACAACCACTTTGGGAGATATAACATACTATCATCACTTCATTTCTCAAAAGGAAAAACTGAAGTACAGAGAAATTAAGTAATTTGCTCTGAAAGCACACACCCAGCTATTAACATGGCCAAATTCTGAAATAGGTATCTTGGTTTGACAGTCTTCTACCCCCTTAATCACTAACTATTGTTCTCATGCAAGTTTGCTGTGCTAACATATACATGCATATGAACACAAGAATTATACAACATGTTCAACTTGGCATGAGAGAACTCATATGTGTGTGTGTGTGTGTGTGTGTGTGTATGTAAGAGATAGAAAAAGAAAGAGCATGTACTTGAATTTATTGGTGCCAGGCATCACTAAATACTCCATAAATTACCTCACTTAATATTCATGAACACACTATGAACGTAGAGACCTTAATTTTCCCATTTTACCAAAAAAAAAAAAAAAGAGTCCTCATCTAAAGTTGAAATTCTACAATCAGCAGAATGATTTCTCAAAGGAAGGAGTTACCAGCATTTTCAACTGCCAGAGAAAAATATTTATGAAATCCATGCTTGAACATTCCAACATCTAAGAATCCTCTTCCTCCAAGAAATGAAATCCAACCTACAAAACTATTGCCAATTAACTGACTAAATAAAAAAATTTTGTAAAGACAATGTTTTTCTCCACTCAGGTTTCCTTTACGTACTGCATATCCAGTTCTTCGCATCTCTGCCTCAGCTCTTCTTTTTCTGATAGTGCTTCCTGAAGTTCTTCCAAGGCCCTTTTAAGCTGCAATATAAATGCCAAAATTCTTAGTAAATCCTGTTTTGACACAAATAGAAAATATACCTTTCTCACTACATAACCACATGGACTGCTACTAGGAATGGTTTTAAATTTTTCAATTTACCTACTTAAAAAAAGCCTTACTCTTGTTGTCTTTGTATGAATAATATTTACATACCTCATTTAACATTTAAGGCTATGGTCCCACAGAAATAAATTTTGTAAATCCTAGTGAAATACCTTTAAAAGTATAGAGGAGGCATTTTAGTTTCCTTATGGAAAAAAATTTAGAAAGACCACAGCATATTTACATGAAATAAATTTTTTTATTTAAAAAAATTTCATTTGAAATACTCCTTGAGATGACTGGTGACACTCATGAAAAAACAGATGTCTAAAAGTATAACAGATAAGTACTTGATCAATTTGTCTCTCCTCTTACCCTTTCACCTCAACCCAGATTGGGTTATACACGGAAAGAGAGAGGACCTTTTTCCCCTGTAAACAGTCCTAAACAATCAGGAATGGAGCCTTGAGGACAGTGTCTTCGAGCATTTTCTTTATATTAGGTGAGAGGACAGTGACAGTGACAAAAATATTATATTATCAGACAAATTAAATTAGAGTTTTTAAAATTATCTACTATTAATTGTGTAACCATACAGCACAGGTCCAATATGTATTACAAGTGTCCAGAAAATGTTCAGTGCCACCCAACTCTTCAAACATCATCACAGAAAACTTTGGAGACCAACACTACTTTTCATTCATGAATAAATGTACAATAATATTCAATTGGGATCTTAAAGTCAAATAAACAAATGTCATGAAAGAATACATTCTTATATATCTCTTTTGGTAAACTCTATGACATTAATAGTAATTGGCAAAAAAATTATCAATATTTCAACATTTTACTTACATACTAAAGTATCCACCTGTTGCTCTAATTCTCCAACAGCATCATTTGCAGGAGAGCTCAATATTTCTTTACTCATCAACTAGGAAAATAAAATAATAAAATTTAATGTATCACCAGAATTTGGAGCATTGGAAGAAAAATGTGAAAATATTTAAGTACAATGTGATGTTTATGAAGTAAAGTTATTTAAAGGAACTTGACAATATTAATTTATCAACTGGCTTTTAAAACATATATACTAAAATTTGACTTGGGGACCTTTGAAGTATTGGGGGCAGGAGGAAGAGGTCATTAGCTAAAGGTCAGTAAACCTGCTGAAAAGGGCAAGCTTTATACAAGGAGAAAAACACATATCCATAACATTTATATGAAAACTGTTATAAAATTTGTTTATGACTTTCACACTTATGTGAACATAATAAAACTTACCTCTTGAATAGCAGTCACGACCACATGTTGAACAGACTCTTCCAGGGTCATTATACTTTGAATATGTTCTATGATTTAAAAAAAAAAATCCAATCTGAAAAATATCTACTCTTTATCCATAGTACCTTAGCCATCCAATTAGCAGAATATAAAAATTCATTTACCACAATAATCTTTTAAGAAAAATATATTATTTTTTCCACTAGTTAATCCACTAAAAACAAATAGAATAAAATATTCATATAAATATTTTAAATGGTTTTTCTCCTAAAGAAACATTGTGACAATACTTATGACATTTATGACAATAATTATTTAATCTTAGGTTCAAAAAGTTTCATTTTATCACCTACTTAGTTCATTCCAAGGAAGGCTTTCAAAAGGGACTTTTACAGCCTCCTATAGACACCTTCCCAGCATTCACAAAGTCTCACAGAGAGACCCTGTATCTCACCACAAACACACATGCAGTTAAGTCAAGGTGATGCTGTCCTGACAGGAAATGAGGAACCATGAGAAAGAGTTCTTTATATATTTTACAGATTAATCCATTTTAACTGTATGTGCTCCAGCTAACAACAATTTCCTCCAAATTTTAAAGACTTATTTTCTAACAAAGTACTTTCACTGTTTTAATTATTCTTCTGGGAACCTTCTCTAAATCTTCCTTTTACTTGTGAAGACAAGGAACTAGACAAAGATTCTGAGTGCACCTGACCACTAAGTACTAACGGACTTAAAAAAGATTAAACTAGAGAATGCATAGGCAATGGAATGATTTCCTTTAAGTGGGTTCTCTGGATAATGAAGTGTTTCAGGTCTTGCTGAAATCCTCATAAAAAAATCTCCTTCCCATCAAGATAAGTAAGGTAACCAGTTCATTCTTTCAAGACTGAGACTGTTGCAGTACCTTAGAATCATTCTGAAATCATTCTCACTGCAAAGCATCACAATGAGATATCACTTAACCCCAGTGAGAATGGCCTTTATCAAAAAATCTCCAAACAATAAATGCTGGCGTGGTTGCGGAGAGAAAGGAACACTCCTACACTGCTGGTGGGACTGCAAACTAGTTCAACCTCTGTGGAAAGCAATATGGAGATACCTTAAAGCGATACAAGCTTCCACACTTTTATGCTTTGCAGTGAGAATTGATTTTCAGAATGATTCTAAGGTACTGCAACAGTCTCAGTCTTGAAAGAATGAACTGGTTACCTTACTTATCTTGATGGGAAGGAGATTATTTTTATGAGGTTTTCAGCAGACCTGAAACACTTCATTATTCAGAGAACCCACTTAAAGGAAATCATTCCATTGCCTATGCATTCTCTAGTTTAATTCTTTTTTAAGTCCGTTAGTACTTAGTGGTCAGGTGCACATCAGAATCTTTGTCTAGTTCTTGTCTTCACAAGTAAAAGGAAGATTTAGAGAAGGTTCCCAGAAGAATAATTGAAACAGTGAAAGTACTTTGTTAGAAAATAAGTCTTTAAAATTTGAGGGAAATTGTTTTAGCTGGAGCACATACAGTTAAAATGGATTTAAATCTGTAAAATATATAAAGTACTCTTTCTCATGGTTCCTCATTTCCTGTCAGGACAGCATCACCTTGACTTAACTGCATGTGTGTTTGTGGTGAGATACAGGGTCTCTCTGTGAGACTTTGTGAATGCTGGGAATGTGTCTATAGGAGGCTGTAAAAGTCCCTTGTTTGAAAGCCTTCCTTGGAATGAACTAAGTAGGTGATAAAATGAAACTTTTTGAACCTAAGATTAAATAATTATTGTCATAAATGTCATAACGTATTGTCACAATGTTTCTTTAGGAGAAAAACCATTTAAAATATTTATATGAATATTTCCTATTCTATTTGTTTTCAGTGGATATACTAGTGGAAAAAATAATATATTTTCTTAAAAGATTATTTGTGGTAAATGAATTTTTATATTCTGCTAATTGGATGGCTAAGGTACTATGGATAAAGAGTAGATATTTTTTCAGATTGGATTTTTTTTTTAAATCATAGAACATATTCAAAGTATAATGACCCTGGAAGAGTCTGTTCAACATGTGGTCATGACTGCTATTCAAGAGGTAAGTTTTATTATGTTCACATAAGTGTGAAAGTCCTAAACCAAATTTTATAACAGTTTTCATATAAATGTTATGGATATGTGTTTTTCTCTTTGTATAAGCTTGCCCTTTTCAGCAGGTTTACTGACCTTTAGCTAGTGACTCTTCCTCCTGCCCCCAAATATCTTCAAAGGTCCCCAAGTCAAATTTTAGTATATATGTTTTAAAAGCCAGTTGATAAATTAATATTGTCAAGTTCCTTTAAATAACTTTTACTTCATGAACATCACATTGTACTTAATATTTTTCACATTTTTCTTCAATGCTCCAAATTCTGGGTGATACATTAAATTTTATTATTTTAATTTTCTAGTTGATGAGTAAAGAAATATTGAGCTCTCCTGCAAATGATGCTGTTGGAGAATTAGAGCAACAGGTGAGTACTTTAGTATGTAAGTAAAATGTTGGAAATATTGATAATTTTTTTGCCAATTACTATTAATGTCATAGAGTTTACAAAAGAGAATATATAAGAATGTATTTCTTTCATGACATTTAGTTTATTTGACTTTAAGATCCCAATTGAATATTATTGTGCATTTATTCATGAATGCAAGTAGTGTTGGTCTCCAAAGTTTTCTGTGATGATGTTTGAAGAGTTGGGTGGCACTGAACATTTCTTCTGACACTTGTAATACATATTGGACCTGTGCTGTATGGTTACACAATTAAATAGTAGATAATTTTTAAAAACTCTAAGTTTTAATTTGTCTGATAATATAATATTTTTGTCACTGTCACTGTCCTCTCACCTAATATAGAAGAAAATGCTCGAAGACACTGTCCTCAAGGCTCCATTCCCTGATTGTTTAGGACTGTTTTACAGGGGAAAAAGGGTCCTCTCTTTCCGTGTATAACCCAATCTGGGTTGAGGTGAAAGGGTAAGAGGAGAGACAAATTGATCAAGTACTTTATCTGTTATACTTTTAGACATCTGTTTTTTCATGAGTGTCACCAGTCATCTCAAGGAGTACTTCAAATGAAATTTTTTTAAATAAAAAATTTATTTACATGTAAATATGCTGTGGTCTTTCTAAATTTTTTTTCCATAAGGAACCTAAATAATGCCTCCTCTAATACTTTTAAAGGTATTTCACTAGGATTTACAAAATTTTATTTCTGTGGGACCATAGCCTTAAATGTTAATGAGGCTATGTAAATATTATTCATACAAAGACAACAAAGTAAGGCTCTTTTTTAAGTAGGTAAATTGAAAAATTTAAAACCATTCCTAGTAGCAGTCCATGTGTATGTAGTGAGAAAGGTATATTTTTCTATTTGTGTCAAAACAGGATTTACTAAGAATTTGGGCATTTATATTGCAGCTTAAAAGGGCCTTGGAAGAACTTCAGGAAGCACTATCAGAAAAAGAAGAGCTGAGGCAGAGATGCGAAGAACTGGATATGCAGGTACGTAAAGGAAACCTGAGTGGAGAAAAACATTGTCTTTACAAAATTTTTTATTTTAGTCAGTTAATTGGCAATATGTTTTGTAGGTTGGATTTCATTTCTTGGAGGGAAGAGGATTTCTTAGATGTTGGAATGTTCAAGCATGGATTTCATAAATATTTTTCTCTGGCAGTTGAAAATTGCTGGCCTAACTCTTCCTTTGAGAAAATCATTCTGCTGATTGTAGAATTTCAACTTTAGATGAGGACTCTTTTTTTTTTTTTTTTTTGTAAAATGGGAAAATTAAGGTCTCTACTTCATAGTGTGTTCATGAATATTAAGTGAGGTAATTTATGGAAGTATTTAGTGATGCCTGGCACCCAATAAATTCAAGTACATGCTCTTTCTTTTTCTATCTCTTACATACATACACACACACACACACACACACACATATGAGTTCTCTCATGCCAAGTTTGAACATGTGTGTATAATTCTTGTGTTCATATGCATGTATATGTTAGCACAGCAAACTTGCATGAGAACAATAGTTAGTGATTAAGGGGGTAGAAGACTGTCAAACCAAGATACCTATATTCAGAATTTGGCCATGTTAATAGCTGGGTGTGTGCTTTCAGGCAAATTACTTAATTTTCCTTTTGAGAAATGAAGTGATGATAGTATGTTATATCTCCCAAAGTGGTTATGAGGATTAAATGAGTTAATATATATAAAGCACTTAGGCCTTGGCACAGAAGTACCAGGTATATGTTTGCGTATATTGTTGCTGCTATTTGAAAAATATAAATGTGAAAGTTATGCAGTAAGTCTAGAAAAAGGTTTACAAAGGGTTAAATGTACCCTCATGCTGTATGTAAGTTGCATTTTTTGAAGTAGTAAGCTAAATAGTTGATTCCCTAAAAAGTCTAAGGACAAGGAACAAAGGTTTGGTAGTATTATCCTTGCTAGATGAAGTAAATATCTAAAATTCTGGGGCTGGGTAATATTCCTAACCCTCAAGGATTTGAAAATAAAAGAGAAAGACATAGTCAGGGCGAGTAGCCACTTAGGGCAGTGACAGCACTAAAATTCAGGTCTTCTAACTTTATCTTTTATAATCAGTCCTTGTTATTTGAATGAAGCGAATACTACAAGTATTGGGGAAATTCTATCTGTTCTCCTTTGCGTTCTTCCTGACTACACATTGTAATACACACTCCATACACATGCAAAGCACCTGAAATGTGCTATTTTCAAATATGATCATATTTACCCTGTAGAATATTACATAGGAAGGATAGAGGGTTGATCCATTCAGGTATTGCCAGTCTTGTAGGATCTTGGTGCAGTTTTCTGAGAAATTCTTATTCAATAAAGAACATAAAATTCTACATCAAAAGACTTAAGTGTTTCTAACAATTAATGAAAAGTATATGATCTTCTGATTTTTGTTGATAAGTACAGAAATCCCAAACAGAGAGGGACAGGGGCAGGTGCAGAGTGAACCTAAAGAATATATCACCA